CTTGACCTTCTGGATCTCATATGACTAAACAGTAGTTGTTTAAATTAATAGTTAAAAGATTTTTCTTATATATTTATACATACAGCAAACCTTGACCCCATTCAAATCTTTATAATGATCGCGTATAGATCCTCTATTACAGGACCCTACGCTATAAGCATCGCGCAGGGATTTTCAACACATTTAAATTATGTTTCTAACAAGTTTAATTTAAATTTCAACACCATTATTTTGTATTTCAATACATTATTGTGTGCATTGACAATGTGGTGAAATAAATAAATAAATGTGTTGAAATACAATTTAAGTTATGATCTTCAAACATTGTAGTTTTGTGACATCTCATCTATCTTTCACAGAGAAATTGAGGGTTTTGAGTCCTTCTGTAAAAATAAATAGGTGTGTGAGTTTCTTGCTAATGGAAACAATTTTTTTTTTTTAAATACGATTTAAATGCATTGAAAATCTCTACAACACGCTGCAATAGGAATCGCAATAAAGGATTAGACTCGTGATCAACACATAAGAAATACGTTGGAGTAAAAGAATGGTTAGATATTTATTTATTATGCTACCAATAAAATATATTCATCTCTATCTAATTGCTTACACTGAAGAAAATAAAGAAGATTTGTAAGTTTACTTTTTCTTGCAACCAAGTGGAGTGTTAAAAATTATGCAACTTTCCGAGATAAAAGAAGGCGGCACATAAATAAAAGAAAGAACTAGGAAGAAGGCACGTGACAATTTCTTTATTTAATCTTAGAAGGAGATGGATATAACTTAAAAAAAAATAGGTGACAACCTCTTAGAATCTCTATATAAAGCTTCCATTCTCTCAACTCATCAAAACAAAGCTTCCATTCTCTCGGTCATATCATCTAAAACCAATCCATTTCTCCCTTTCTATTTATTCTTGCAATTTTAAAATAAAAATTATAACCTTTAATTTAATATTTAATAATTTGGTCAAAGATGAGCACAATTAGTGTTGGATTAATCAAGCCCAATACATTCATCATTATGATGTGATGACACAACTTTTAAATATTGTTATTCTAAGGCTAACATCTAACATCTCCGGTTTCCTAGCAACAGTCTGACTATGTTTCATGAGTCGCTTATTTTGATTGGCTAGAATCAGCCCACCTAAGCATGCGCACATGGGGCCATTATTTTTTGGGTAAAGTGCAAATAACCCCCCTGTACTATTGACAAATTGCAACTAACCCCCCTAAACTAAAAAAAACCCCCTAAACTATGAATTTGTTGCATTTCAGTCCATTCCGGTGACCGACTTAACCGGAAAAATAAAAAGTCTGAATTGCCCTTATGATTATTCACTACTATATAAGGTATATAAATATATATGCGTTTATATATATATATATATATATATATATATATATATATATATATATATATTTCTGGTTTTAAACTGAATTTATATATATGTGTTTATATATATATATAACATTGGAGATTGAAGAGAGAGAGAAGTATCAGGCTGGAGATTGAATCATGAAGAAAATGAAGGAAAAAGATGGTGGCGGCGGCGGCGATTATGGTGACGGAAGAGGAGGTAAGTCGGCGATTATGGTGACGATGCGGAGTCGACGCGTCAAAACCCAAATCATCCTCGTCGCCGCTGGGATCTCGCTGCCGTCATCTCCTGCGCCTGCCCCGCCACCGTCTCTTGCGGTGACAGCTGGAACGAGCTCGGATGGTGGAGAGGACCGGCGAGCAAGGTGGGCTGAACGGCAATGGGCTGGTTCAGCCATGGTTAACTCGCGGCGATGGGCTGGTTGCGGCTTAGCTGCACAGCGGCCGAGCTTCGCCTCATCCGCGAACCTCCCTGTTCCGATCGGGACGGTCACCCACTTCTCGTTTTCATCGACCCCAAATTATTCCGCAATCATTCTCCACAAGTGCTTCCACTTGAACAGATCGCCGTTGCTGCAATTGAAAGCTTCGTTGCTCGCATACGGATCCATCGCCGCCCATACTAGTGCTCCGCTATCAGACCGGAATCCGACGCCACCGAGTAGCAGTTCCATGCCGCCTTCGTTCCCGAGGGAGAACCAGAGATTATGTTTGAAGGGGGTGATGGCAGTGGGTTAGTGGGGGTTTGGTTTCACAGTGTGTGATGGGTTTGATGGAGAGAAGGTTGGGCTGTGGTTGGTGATGACGGGTGATGGTGGTGGCGGGATTGGGGTAGTGGCTGTGGGTTTGTGTACTAGTTCGATTGGGTTTGGTGGTGTGCCGTTGAGATGCCGATGGAGGTGGTAGTGATGGTGATGGGTTTGATTTCGTTTAACGGTGTGTTTTGGCATGAGTTCAGGAGGGTTTCGTGGTGGTTATGTTGGTGGTTGCGGACGGTGGTGGTGGTTATATTGGTGGTTGCAGAAGGTGGTGGTGGTCGTAGACGACGGTGGTGGTGGTTATAGGATAATTTAGTATTTTCATATATAGAAGGGCATTATTGTCCAAAAAACTTAGTTTGTCTGTCGCGTGTGAATCACGCGCTCATTTTTGGACGGCTGGTCACCGGATGGGGTGATCTGCAACTTTTTTGTATAGTTTGAGGGGTTTTTTGCATTTTTGGTAGTTCAGGGGTTTAGTTGCAAATTTTCCCATAGTTCAGGGGGGTTATTTGCACTTTACCCTTATTTTTTTTTTTTCTTTAATTCTCTTGTTTTAAGAGACATATCTTGGAAAGAGAGTTTTGACTTGCTGAATCAGTTATTGCGTTTTCTCCTTCCCTCTAATCGGTCATTACACTTACTTTTTTCTTTCCTCATTTGGTAAAAACAATCTTGAAGAAGACGACCATTTTTTTCCTCATCATCACCAAACTTAGTCTACTGCCAACAGCAAATTCGTTCAATCATCCATTTTTTACCACTCGATCCAGTGGATCCTAATAACGTCGTCCGGGTGAACCACCACTCGTGCCGTGTCGACTCACTAAGTCGACCAGGCTACTCGTCCAATTCGATTTTTTTTGGGTTAGCAAATTCCGAGGCATACTGAAAGTCTTTGGCTTGGTTAATCTTCATTTGTGGACGTCTCGTCATTCCATCGGCTTTGGTGCTGATGAGGAAAAAACATAAAAAAAAAAAAATCTATTGAACTGAGTTTGGTGATAATGAGGAATTTTTTTTTTTTTTTTTGATTGGATTGAATATGGTGATGATGAGGGGAAAAAAAAGGTGCAATAATCTGTTAAAGGAAAGGAGAAAACGTTATACCGGTTCAGTAAGTCAAAATTCTTTTTCCAAGGTGTGTGTCTCTTAAAACAAGAGAATTATATATATATATATATATATATATATATATATATATGGCCCCATGTGCGCATACTTGGGCTGATTCTAGCCAATCAAAATAGGCGACTGATGACAACAATAGACTGTTGCTAGCAAAACTCAATAAGTAGTCTGAATGAATTGGTCAAATAATACAAAATAAAGTTTTAAACATTTTGAATGTCAATTTGAAAATGTTGGATGCTAGTTGATACTAGTAAATTTGAAAAGTAATTCAACAAAAAACAAAATAACGTGATACTTTTCATCGAATCAATTTTGATTGACCATAGTAATTTCCAAGTTACATAAATTAATATCAAACCCATTAATGGTTTAAGGTATTATTAATATATGATGTTATTTTTCAAGTTATTCAATCGCCATCTTCTATAGTTACATAATTTAAGTTCATTTGTAAATTATATATTTGGAGACACGTGTTCCAACCACTGGCCCAATAACAGAGGACAGACCGGAAACCAAGAGTTGGGCCAAACTAACCCATATAGGCCCAATGATATCCAAGCGACCAGAAAAACCACCTTGAAGATCTAGAGAGGCCCAAAACAGAAGGACCAATTACAAAGCCCACTGGGTCATCAACTTGTACTCAAATCGATTTCCATTTAGAGAAGAGTGAGGTCCACAAGAGTTACGGTGTGGATTTGTGATTGGTCGGGACAAATTAAATTTGGGTTCATCATGTAATAATTTAAGAATAATTATTTAATTTAATTTATATAAATGTAGTGGTGGATCAATATTATGTTATTTTAACCTTCTTCTTTGTCCTCATTCATTTATTTAAAATCAAAAAAAGATATTTTTCCCTTTTTGGAGATCATCCCTTTAAAAATACAAAAATTAATAATGTCACTTTGACCACCTTCTTTGTCCTCATTCCTTTTTAATTTTTCAATTCTTACACATTAAAATGTCTTAAACACACCCTCCTTATCTCCAAAATCAGTGCTGTCATTTTGACCTTTTCTTTGTCCTCATTTCTTTTTCATTTTTATATTCCTTACACACATATCCAACAAAAAGACTTTAAAACACCATCCTTATCACCAAAACCTAGTCTCAAGTATAATAAGACCACCCTAGCTGTCCTGTCAAGCAACAATCTTAAATATAGCATGAAAATTGAAAAATAAATGTATATTTATAGCATAAATTTTTTAAATAAATTTATATTTATCACACCAATAGCATTGCAGTATCTAGAATTGCAAACTAGCTGAGATTTATGTTATTAAGACTCTACGTCGTTTATTTATAGCTTAGCCGAGGCCCGTAACTAGCTAAAAAAAAAATTTGAGCTTGGACTAACCCTAATAAGACTTATGCACCCAGGGGACAACTTTTCCTCTTTTATTCATTTCAAAAGCTAATTTACCAACCAATATCAACCCCTAAAATTTAGAGGCATTTAGAGTTACTCCCACAACCGTGAGTGTAAAAAATCATCATACCTTCATTTCCTAGAACATAAATAATAAAACAAACTGGAAAATTTCAAGCTTTTGAAAATTGAAAAGACAGGCTCAAAACGAGAGAGAGAGAGAGAGACCAAATTAAATATACCAAGACCAAAATATTTAAAAGCCATACTTCATAGTCATCAAAATATATTCAGGAATAAAATAAGCCAAATAAGAAACAAACAGGAGCAAATGGGAAATCAAATACGAGAAACACAAAAGAAAGTAACAATCAATATTATAAGATGGTACAATATTCATCAAGTAATTCACTAAAATCTCTCTACAAGGAGAAAGTGATGAAAGCAAATTGAAAATTTGTGAAGACCAAAACATATTTAAAATAAGAAAGAAACATTTCAAAATTATCAGGTAAAAGAGATCAAATTTATCAATTAATCCATTGATGCTGATGCTTTTGCTGATCCAAACTTCCTGTGTTTCTTTTTTTTTTTTTTTCCCCCTCATATTCATTTCATTTGAACAATCCCTGCTCTAACCAGCTTCTGGATCTTGTTCATCACAAGAGGATTTTTCATGTGATGCTGTGCAGCGCTTGGATTCTCTTGGAAGTCTGTCAACACCTGTGATTACCACCATTTATGAATATTGGTCATTACAACACGAAAAGAGCAGAGTGAAGGGATCCGTGGAAGAAAGGCCATGAATCCACTTATGGCAAATACAGTAATGAAGACGAACATTTTAAGAACCCCCCTTCATACCTGACTCATAACAGGATCTGTGAGGATGTTCTGAATTTCTGGATCCTGCATTGCCTTGGCCTGCAAATCGGAACCCACAACCATATCTCAAGTTGGCTTCAATCAAAGAGACACAACAACCAACAAGAGTTCAAACTGATCATACCTGTCTCTCCTTCAGTTCATCAGCGCTAAAATCCCCACGACTTGCCTTGTTAATTTGTTCTACAGATCTGCAGAAAAACATAAATAAAAAATCTTTGAAGAAGTGACCCTCTTATTATTATCATTATTATTTCGTTTCTGAAAAGAATGCACACTCAAGCTTCTCTTCGTTTCTGAACCTAAATTAAATGAACCATCTACTTCTACATCTGAAAATATTTTGCATGCGAATAATTTTACATGAGAATTAATTTCCTTCTTATTTTCCGGTGTTTGGTTGATTTTTTATTTTATTTTATTTTATTATTATAACTTATCAAATGAGAAAATTAATTTCCATCTTATTTTCCGGTGTTTGGTTGATTTTTTATTTATTTATTGTAACTTATCAATTCTTAGAAAATACTTATAGAAGCATGCATACATATACCAATACACTCATTTTATATAAGCTTAGATAAGATCGTTATATAGACAAGTATAATTACTGAAAACTATATATAGGCAAATATATACTTGAGTCTGCAAAAGAATATGTAAACGATACTTATATATGTGCACTTACTTATACGTATATAGATTTGGATGTGTGCACATATATTTTTATATTTATATGTACGACTATCATTTGAGCATATGAGTTACACGTGCATTTTGTAAGCTACTTTGTCTTTCCTAAGAAATTGTGTAAAATATGTTACAATCAAAAGAACATATTTTACATCAAAACTTCAGAAGCACAAACTGTGAAAATTGTGTTCAGGTCATCTTACCTCCTTACACCATCCAGTAATTCCTGGTTGTGAGGGTCGTGTTTCAATCCTTCCCGGTAAGTTTCCAAAGCTTTATCATACTCTTTCATGAAGAACTGAACGGCACCTTTTCTAGTATATCCCTTGGCAAAGGTAGGATCGAGCTCAATGCATTTCTCTGCATCTTTCAGTCCCTCGGGCAACGCCCCCAGTTTTGTGTAGCAAGCAGCCCTGTTACTATATGCCTGGAAAAGCAACAATCAGTAAGGCATTTTAACAGTTGAATTGGTGCAAGAATTTCATCTAAGAAGCAACTCTGAATATACAATGAGTACTTAAAATCTGAAAAAGTAAGTTAGCTACCTTTGGATCATTGGGGTTCCTCCTCAAGGATTCTGTGTAGTGCCTGACAGCTTCTGGATAATTTTGCTCTTTGAAACACTGATTACCTATGTATAATATAGAAACGGTGTCAAACACCATACAAATAAGCCATTTGGGGTTAAAGGAGGACGGGCAAAGAGAAATGAGTACCTAAATCATAAAAGTGTACCTTTCTCACGCTCCTCGTCAGCTAATGTTGGATCGAAATACTCTTGTTGCTCCAAGTCTTTCTTTGCTTTCTCAGCATCATTGCGCCTCTTCAATGTGTCTGGGTTCCGATGCTCCGTAAGAGCTTTCTGAAAACACTCAATAGCAGGATCATAGTCCTTTGAGCACTTTGCCATCTTCACCAAGGCAGTTCCTTTCCTTGTCAAGGCCCTTCCAACCATCTTAAAGTCTGACCTAAGCTCTCTTCCCCTTTCAACAGCCTTGTCACAGTCTTTGATGCATTCATCATACTTAAAAGAATGATACACTGATTAGATAAAGGCTGACTGGGTGAACATAGATAGACACCACAAATTGGGAGCAAATGATTGTCAAGTTGTGAACATATATTGAACTATCCATTTAAGTATATATTAAAATTTCAAATGAAATGAATGCATCAACAAATAATTCTTTGGAAATTAACAGCCATATCATGACATTTGGTAGAGCCTATCGACCTATCCACGCACTGGATCACCTACTAAGTTTGGACACAGACATGGTACATGGATACGCCGCCGACACGTTAAATTCTAAAAAAGTTGGACTCAGACATGGATAAATTTTCATCTATATATCTATTGAATAAGGCAATTAAAGAATCTTAATTAATTTATAATTTCTATACTAAAGTTACGTAAGTTGAATATGAAGCTATTCGACTATCAAAAAGAATATATTATATTACATATGATAGACCATATCTTATCCTTATAGTTACGTTTTTTTTCATTACATACTGTGACATGTTTAATGTCAATTTGTCAATTTTTTTTTTTTTTAAGAAAAATGGGTTGGATAATATGATGTATGTTCGAGTCTTCGACTATCATGTGATTGTTTTATATAAGATGAAGAGTGTGGGATGTGTTGGTTGAGTGTCCGGAATGTGTTAATTAAGTGTCTAATATGTGTCGGCCAAGTGTCCAAAATAATAAAAATTATTTTTAAATTATAAACATGGCCATGAAGTGTTAGATATGTGTCCAGGAGTTTCTATGAAGTGTTGGTGTCCAACACGGACACGGCACCTTCTTAGAAGTGTCCGTACTTCTTGGTGGACCACCAACCGCAATGCCATTGATCGGAAGCATGCTTTTTATGGTAGGTCATCCAACTAGACGCAACTTTTGTACTAAAGATTAAGTGACTATATGTGCAGTTGTCGATGTCTTATTTGTATTTTGAAAACAACACTCGTTATTCTTTTGTGCAAATTCATGGTTATATAAAACCGCAATGAAACCCTAGGAATTGCAATATACATTCATCTGTCTGATGAACTTGCCTCAAGCAACATGAGTACATGTTACTGTAGGATAAAGAATATGCAACTGATTCTTCAACATAGAACAAAATTCATCACCCTGAATTCAAAACCTAGCTGTCTTACCTAAATCAATCATCTAAATCTTCTATCAGTTACAAATTTAATTTTCGGGGCATTTTGTCTTCCCTCAACTCATAGTAGTGGCATCAGCAAACACACATATCACTTATAACAGTCAACTATCAAATAAAAAACAGCAGCCCTTATGAACTTATGAACTTATGAACATGGAAAACAAATTGAAATACAAGATGATAAAAGGATGATATAGTTGAAGAGTTAGGTAATATTCAACTATAAACACTATCGAACCAATCTCCTAATACAAGTGCAAGCATACCAAATCAAATCAAAGTACAACCACAGCATAAGAAATCAAAAGAACCGAAAATAAAAGTAAAAGCAAAGTAAATTCATTAATATACCTTCCCCATCTCCAAGTACACAGCTGCCCTGTTTGTGAGAAAAGAAATATCCCCGTCGTCCAATTCAATCGCCTTCGTATAGTGCAGAATCGCATTCTCGAAGTCCTTCTTCTTGTAAGCGGCATTTCCCAACTCCTTCTCGTTCTGCGCCTGCGCTTTACTCTCTCTTGCTTCTCTCCCTTCCTCAGATATTTCCATTGGCTCTGGCTGCTGCTTCGGCTTCCCCGTCACCGGCTCCGGCTCAGCCTGTCTCTTCCCCTCCGGCGGCGAGGACGGCTCACCCTGAGCCTCCATCTCCTCCGATGTCGGCGACCGAATCATCACATTAAGCAACACACTCAGCGCTTGCATAACCCTCTGATCCTTCAAATAAAGATTCAAATTGCTAGGATTTCTCTGAATCTCCTGCATCATTTTCACGAAATCAGGCTGTTGCAGGTAAGCCCTAGTCGTCGGATCGGCAGTGAGTTTCGTCCACATCTCCGGCCCCGAAAAGGCATCGCCAAAAGGAGAAGAAGAAGATGCCGGACCTCGGGATCTGGCGGCGGAGGATTGGGCGTCCGCGAGGCCGGACTTGAGGGCTTCATTGTTGGGGTCGATTTCGAGACCCTTCTTGTAAGCCGAGACGGCATCTTCATAGTGATGGAGACCTAGGTGTGCAGCTCCGAGACGTGAATAGGCCTTGGACCAGTCGGGCTTGAGCTCGACGGTCTTCTCGGCGTCGGACAAGGCGTCGGCATACTGATTGAGGGAGGCGTAAGCGGCAGATCGATTGGAGTAGAGGACGTGGTTGGTCGGGGACAGGTTGATCGCCTCTGTGAAGTGGCGGATGGCCTCTGAGAAGTTTCCGGCGGCAAAGGCCGCGTTGCCTTCGGCCTTTGCTGCGTCCGCCATATCTATTGTCGCTGTGATTCAGCTCTCTTTCTCTCTCTAGATAGTAGTGTGTTAGGTCACATTGGCGACGACATGTTTCTGGAATGTTCGTTCCAAGGATGTTTGGCTTTCGGGTTAAGATGGGAGGAGATGTTTGGCCACGATAATAGAAAGACTCTGACAGGGGATAGGTTTCCATTTTTTTTTGCAGACTCCAATTTTGTTACACTTGATAAAATGTCAAGTGTGTTTGTAGTCCAAATTTACTACACTTTCAATTTTGTTACCTTTTGTGTTTTCTGAGGAGTGCAAACAATTTAAGTTAGCCCATTTGATTATTTGAGAGATGAATGATTATCAATCAGGTTTGTAAATGTCCAATAAAATTATATTTCTTTATAAATTTAATTAATTCCAATAAAAGGGAAAAAAAATTGAAAGGCAATAAAAAAAAAAAAAAAAAAGTTACAACTTAAAATGGCCTTTTATATCCATCAAGAAGTTGTTACATTATAAAAGTTGAGTAGATCACTTCTTTATCACGTATGAGATGATTGTCAAGATTTGGAAATTATTATCCTTAAGAATTGATATTAATACTTAGGCTCTGTTCGTTTAGAAGTAAAATATTTTTCATAAAATATTTTTTATTTTTTTGAGAATTGGTTATCCTAAAATATTTACAAAAATATATATATATATTAAAATTTAACAAAAATAATATATTCATTAATTTTCAGTAAATTATTTTACAAGCTTCGTTCGATAGACTCGACCTCAACCTCAAAGTAAACTTTTGTTAAATACCGACAAAGTAAAAATAAAAAAATATTTTACCTGAAAAAGAAGAATATTTTTTAAAAATATTATTTTACGTCGAAACAAACGGATTCTTAAAGTTCAAATATTTTATTTGAGTTTTTGTGGTAAATGGAAAAGTGAAAAGCATCCCAATAAGTTTTTCAGATTGACTTATTTAGGTCTCGTTTGACATATAATTTGTTTCTACTGTTTTTATTTTTGGATTGCTACAATGTTAATTTTTGCAACAAAAACATATTTGGTGTGGCCTTATTTTATTTTACACAGTGTTAAAACACTTCGTGAATAGTAACTCAGAACCAAAAAACTAAAAAGTTATTTTTTCTTATTTTGATAATTGTTCATGGCCCAAAATTATATTTTGCATGTTTCTGTTTCCGACATTTTCACAACAAAGCAACGTTCTCAAACGTGCTTTCGATTTTTTTTCAAAATATTCGTACAACAAAAACATTATTTTTGTTTTAGTCAAAAACAAAACGCATGCCAAATAAGCCTTTATTTTTTGGTATATGTGTAAATTTTGGAATGATCTAATTTTTTTAAGCAAATGAATGATTTTAAAGTTGATGCGATACAAATTTTAGCTCAACACCGTGAGTTTGAGGAGTTGTCAAGACCTGTTGTGAGAGTCTCCATTGAAAGAGCTCTAAATTACACATTTATAGTTCTATCTTTTTCATTTGTAGTAGATGTTACCTTAACACGAAATCTAACATTGAGAAGTGCTATTCATATGCTTCTCGAAGGTTTTGCAATAGACTTATCTTGGAAGAAGATTAATAAACGCCATTGCATGTCACTTGGTAGAGTGGTTACGTAGAAGATATCAGTCAATAACAATTTCATATTTTAATTTGAGGCTCTGTTTATTTAAATGTAAAAATATTTTTATATTTTTAGTATTTGATTGTCGTAAAATATTTACGAAGAAAAAAAAAAATTAACAAAAATAATTTATTTATCAATTTTTGACAAGTTATTTAACATGACCGGCCCAATAGATTCGATCTTAGACCTTTACTAAACGCTGACAAAGTAAAAATAAAAAAAAATATTTTTAAAAAAAAATATTTTATGTACGCATTCTCAATTTCAATTCAATTTGCTCATAGGAAGTGTAATATTGTAACTCACTCTGAGTTAGCATTCATTATATCACAGATTCTTATGCATTTGTTGGCGACAGTGATCGATTGTATGCTCTTAATATCATCAATAATTTTTTTTTCTTTATCAGGAAAAAATATATATAAAAAGTTGTATTTATTGTTATTGTGGTATTTTATTTTTTATTTTTATTTTTTCCCAAATCATACAATGTAACTTAAGTATTACTTAATTTAAGAGGACTTGAAACCCTTTTACTTCCAATTTTAAACCGCAGAGGATATTTCTTTCATACTTTTACCATTGTAGCACCCAAAATCTCCACAGTTTTTACTCCTTTCCGTATACATAACAGACTAAAAGTAGTACCATAATAAACCATTAGAGTAACTTTTTACTACTTACTACCTACTTAGAGTATCGGATTCTGTGTAAACTCATGAGCTTCACCAACATCAAAGTCACGATCAGAGCCGTCTATTTCTTGACTTAAATTGTAACGTAACACCCACATCATCAACCCATCAAAACCGCTTTCTTTTTGTGGGCCACCAGTGTTTGCCCCACTTCTTTACACCCGCGCGTGGGCATAACGTCCCATTGTTTTAGGAAGACAGCATGTAAATGTAATATTACAGTATAGGACTATAGGAGTAGCATAGAACTCATGTATTTAAATGATTTCACAAGTAACGTAACCCAAAGTCCAATGACCGAAATGCCCTTGGCGCAACTCTATTCAATAAAATTTTGACTTTTGGACAAATTTGGTGTCGCGCAATACATAACTTTTTATGCAATGTGTAATATAATAAAAACAAAAACAAAAAAAAAATATATATATAATGTACCAGCCTCTCCTTATAATGGAATCATAAGAGATATATGAAACCTTACTTTTATACGAAGAGATAATATATATATATATATATATATATATATATTTTTTTTTTTTATTTGAAACACAATGGAGCAATTCGTGTAGAAATTATTTTATGGTCCTTATCAATCACAATACAAAAAAAAAAAAAAAAAAAGAATTTGTTTGGAAATAGTTTTGAGTAATGTTTTTATCTTAAATATAAATAATATTTTTATTGTGAAGTGTATTCAATAGTTAATTAGAAAGGTAATGTAAAATTGGTTGTGAGATTTTTTGAAGTAAAAACATAGTTGAAAAAAAAAATTGCAAGATTGAAAAATAAAATGCATTTTAAAAAAATGTTATTTAACATATCTTTTCTATTGTTCATTGTTACAGTATTTTTATTATTAGATTGTAGAAATGTTAATGTTGTGTTTACGATTTGAGCCTCTTTTTCAAAAACAAATACAGTACTATTTATGTCGTAACAAAGTAAGTTATTAAACGTGTTTCTATGTTAAAAATAATAATAATAATAATTAACAAAAACGGTGGCACTAAAAAGCTGATACATTTTCTTAGGTGTTGAGTTCGGATTAGTTGGGACCATTTAGACCCCACAGTGTAATAATTTTTCCAATCAATATAGAGGGTAAAAATGTAATTTAAATATGTGACGAAACATAAGAAGGGCCGAGAAGGCAACAGAAAATAAAACCCTGTTATCAAGTAGTGCCAGATTCTGCTAAACAAAGAAAGATAGAGAGAGAAAATATAACCATTTTGGATCTAACCCTTCTTCGTCCCCGTTCCCCTTCTCTGCTTCAAGCCTCAAACCATGAGGATCAGAAAACATGCTAAGCTCACAGGCTCTTCTCTCATCCCTCAAGACCTCCTTCCTGAGACCCACGTGTGCCAACTGAACCAGTCACCGTGGGATGTTATACACTTCCCAACTGGTTCATCTTCAACACCTGAATACAAGGTCAGTCAATCCCTCAATCTCTCTCAGTTTTAATACAGCAAATATATATATACAAACAGATCTGCAAAATCCCTTTTTGTATGTATTCTACTTTCCCTGCATTTTTTGTTCTCTGGTCTAGGGTTTCTGTGAACCCATTATTAGGGTTTCTCAAAAACCCTAAATCCCACCATTTCCGTCGTTCATCTACACTTTAATACTCGATTACTCTGATGGGTGGTCTTTATTTTTCTCTATTATTGACTGTATACGTTTGGTTTCGGCTTGGATGACCATTTTTGCAGGTTGATAAAGACAGTAGCTTTACCGGAAATGGGAGCTTTGCAGACTCTATCGGAGCTGTGGAGAGGTAATCCGAAAACATTTTCTTCGATTAGGATCGTTAAATAGATTTGTTTGCTATTAATCTGATGCAGACGTTGTAGGGTTTCCATTATCCGTAGCCATTTAATTTTTTTCCAAATAGTTAACAATAGAGCTCTAATTGTTCAAAATTTGATCTGAACAACACTTCATCAATACCGTATAAATAGTCTGTTTATCATTTTTTTGAAATATATTCATTGCAGCACTGCCTCAATGAAGATATCTCTGGAAGAAGAAAAGGAGACTAAGGAAGACGATGGCCCGAACCATAAGAGAGAGGACCATCTGGGTATTGAAAATAATGAGGCTATTTTGTGCAGTAAGAGTGATGGGAAGGGTTGGCAATGTTGGAGAGAAGCAAAAGAAGATCATTCACTTTGTGAACATCATTTTACCCAGCTCAGGAATTACAACAATTTGGCTCATCCTGGCAGAAGATCTGGTAAGTCGTCGGAGAAAGATGTGGCAATCAGTCGCCATCCGCGCACAAAGAAGGGTTCATCAGTATCTAATCGACATGAATTTTACTATTACTCCGGATTTGGACCACGTTGGGGCAAGAAGAGAGGTACGATAATTGAACCCAATGTTAGCAGTGACCCCAAACTTATAGTAACCAATGTTAGCAGTGACACCAAACTTGTAGTTGAACCTATCACTAAAGTCACAACAAAATCATCGGCACTCCAGATTGATGACGCAGAGTTTGATTATGTAGGGGAGGATGATTACGATGACGACCAAGATGAAAGTAGTGAAGCAAGGAAGAAAAGAGGCCGAAAACCTATTAAGGCTAGGTCATTGAAGTCTCTAATGTGAGCATGGATGATTAGAAATGTGTGTGATTATCGTAATTGTTTTAGTTTTTGTGTTAGTTAAAGTACTTTTAGGTTAGTATAATTTTTTGTTTTACATTTTGGAGTGTTTTGTTATAAGTGAGAATAGTAGGTCTCTTCATAGAATATTTTACTATTTAACATGTAATTCATGTAATCCTAGTTGTTGTGTTTAGTGAAAAGGGCAAACTTGTCATTGAAAATTTGTAATATATTTGAATTCCTTGTATTATCGTGGCCAATGGACCCATCATATTTGATTCAAAAAGGAAGTCTTAACAAGTTGACCAACTGTCCACGCTTACAAAATTCGTTACAGTTAATCCTTCTAAAAATTCTCACCCTCACCCTCACCCTCACCCTCCCACATTGTTTGTTACATTATTTACATATGAGACTTGCCTTTACAAATGAGACTTATATATATATATATATATATACATATATTACAATTTAAGATTAATATTTGGTTTCTAAAACCATCCAATTAAATATTTATATATTTACAAATTTGTTATCCTTCTCTAGTCTACCAAATTATATAAATTTTACCATGTTTTATAATCTTTCATGTATCTACAATACTGCATATTTTCTAATTATTTATAGGGCTAATTCCACAAAACCTCCACTACTTTCATTTTTTGACCATATACTCTCAACTTATTTTAGAAAACCACCAACACTATAAAATTTGATCACATTGCTCCAATTCTGTTATTGAATTTCGTTAAAGAAGCACGTGATGCTCACTTGCGTAGTCAAAAACTATTTAATGACTAAAGTACCCCTGATACAACTTGTGGGAAGCATTTGCTGTTAAGTAATTTTTTATATTCCACAACTACCCCTAACCATGTTAAATAAGCATTTGCGATTCTCTTCCATATTTCATGTTTCTCAATTTATAGGTGGAAGGTTTTGAAGATAGTAACAAAGTCATACCTTTGGACATATTGTCTAACAAAGTCGAAGACAAACACCTCGAATAGACAACTCCTTAAGATTCTTCACTTACCCACAGATGAAATGCACAACAGTGTTTAAAGGAAAAACACACAAGAGATTAAATAATGAAAAACACACAATCTCACACGTACAAATTCACCCTCAAAACCTAGTCGATTCCCATCCCTCTGATCGCTAGTGTTTGTGAGCCACTCCTTCAAATTCTTTATTATGTATATTATATACATGTGTATATATATACACACACACAAAGAAAAGGGTGAAGGTGAATAAAACGACTGCATTTAATGCCAACATATTTGCACATCAAAACGCAGTCGTTTTGTATCGATTACGTAAATGTCATCAAGGTAATTTTGTAATTTGCAAAATATCGATTTTTGCTTTTTAAAATAAATTGGTATATCAAAAGGTTAATTTCGTCATTTAACCACAACTTAACAGTTCAGTAATAGAATTGTGGCAATGTGATCAAATTTTATAGTGTCGAAGGTTTTCTAAAATAGGTTGGGGGAATATGATCAAAAAATGAAGTAGTGGGGTTTTTTTTTTTTTGTGAAATTAACCCTTATTTATAATGCTTTATATTTATTGAAATTAAAATATTGAAGATATAAGAAAAAATAAATAGTTTATACAGATTTTTAATGACAAACTTTTAAATAAAAATAAAAAGAGTAGTATACCCAAAAATATTTATATTATGTATTATATTTTACTAACTATGCATGATACACATGTATGTTATAGGATAATTTTATTTATAAATGTAATTATTTAACATTAATGCTTCAAAACTTAATTATTCAAATTTTGTGAAATTTTCTTTTCTATAAACTTCATTCTCACTCTCTGAAACAGTACTTTCACGGGTTCGTGGCCAACGGTCAAATGTAAACCTAAAGTTCCAATTTTGCTCTTCATTAGGAATTCTCCCCTTTGGTTTGTACATTTATTCTCATACAATTAAATTTATCTTTCAAAAAAAAAAAACTTTATTTTGCAGATGATCAAATCATAAGGATAGTATTGAGAGTAAAAAAATTCCTATATTTTCTTTCTTTTGTGTAACTTATTTATTTATTATTTTTTATCCCCGTAGAAAGAAATTGGTTATGTTAATTGAGGAAGTTTTGTTACTTGTCTAAAAAAAAAAAAACAGATTCATGTGTATATTAGATAATTTTGTTAATATGATTCAATGTGCGATGTGCGTGCAAATTACATTCAAATAGAGAACAATGGGTAGAATAAAGTAGAATAATTGACGTCAAATTCAAGTTCCAAAAAAGAGAATTAGACAGCGATTACAATTACTATTTTCAATCTAGAGTAGATCAATTTTATTTATAATCAAGCACTTTAGATACATTCTTTTTGTCCAATGATGAGTTTTTGGGGAAGTGGAGTATCCCTAACTTCCTAATCCTTTCTAATTTTATATACAAGTTAGCCAAAGTCATTTGTATTACATACAAATGATAACTTGTTCTGTTCTAATAGAATTTGAATATCTTCAACAAGCATTGCAACTTAAGGAGCACTCATATTTTCTTAAACAACTAAATAATATATTATTTGCTTAGTAATATGCCTTAAGTCAATGCTTCTACTATGGTAACGTAACTTGTATTGCTACAAAAATAAGTAACAGCCTTAAACAACAGATTTTGTGGAGTTGTTAAAAGCATTATCAAAATTTACCTTCATCACACCATGTGTTGGGGGTTTCCAATTCTGAACTTGATGTTACTGAAATGACGTATGGACTGAGATGTCTTCTGCCTCATATCTCTTGTGCTTTAAAAAAATTGTAGTAATTTACTACATTTTTATTGACAAATCTAAATGTCAATCCGCATCTCCCATTTTACATACATTATTTTTAGAATTTTAATTTTTTATTTGTTTTGGTAAGTAAGAATTTAATAGATATGAAAAGAAATTACAAAAATAAATGAGGCATATCCCAAGCCTAATAGAAGGGGCACAAGCCATTCAAGCTACAAAAAGATGAAGTTCTTACAAGTACAGTCCAATGAATCTTCCAAAAACAAAACCAGAAAAATAACCATGAAACAAACAAGCCCTTAAATTCAAAACTAACTAACCTTAACGAGTAACAAACTGAATCAAAGAAAAGGAATGATTATTTTTTTAAAAAAAAAATGCAAGTTCTAGACTACGGTTGTGGTGCTGTAAGTTGGTGGGGAAAAGGTTGATGAGCTGGTTGAGTTGTGGGTGTTATGATTGTGGTAGGGGATTGATGATGGATGTGAGGCACTGAGTTAAAAGACCATGACCAAAAGGGGTTCGTCTGGGCAACTTCATAGAAGGATGAATGTAAGTTCTAATCATTTGCAATGTTCTTGGCACAAAGACAATCACATTTCTTGACTGAAATAACACTAAATCAAAGATTCATTAATTACTAAATATTAACAAATCCACATAAATAATGAAATTACAAATTCATTGCCATATACAGTACACACAACTTTTGGTTTAGCATTCTCATTTTATCATCTAAATTCATTAAAAGTATGAACATAATTTTACAAAACTTCTTATATATCTACAGGGCCATTTATGTCTAAATTTAAAGCCAAGGTGTCATGTATCGAATCTGTAAGTCTAAAGAAGAAAGAAAACAAAGTATTTCAAATCTTAGCATATGGAACAAAAATTGAATCACTGACACAAGCTTGTTTGTTTTTCTCATTCAATTCCCCAACCATGTATTTTGTCTATGGTTAGCAATAAAAGAAAGACTCCTTATCAAAGACAAACTCTCTTTAAATTTCCATATGCAGTCTAATGTATGCATTCCTTACATTCAAGATGTAGACCGATCATAATTATTTTTCACAATTGTTTCTATTCAATGTCTATATGGAACATATTTAAAGATAAATATGATTTGTTGATTAAAAAATCTGCACGGTCAGAAGCGGGGTGTTTCCTGTAAGATAAGAGAGAAGTGACGACCGGCGTGGTGCCGATCGAGTACGTTCTGACGGTCAAGTTAGTACTTGACGATTCAATATCCGAGAAAAAGATCCAATATCCCCTTTAATATGAGATTTATGGCTTACCTTTTTATATTGACTAGCCTCACTTTTATAGAAAGTTGAAATTGTCGTTTCCGCATTTCCTTCTGGGAGAGAAGGGATTAGTTAATCTTATCTTTAGTGCAACCTTTGAATTAATCAAATCTTATCATTTAATTACCTTATAAGATGAACACCTTATAAGGTAATTATCTTCTTAAGTTTATCCATGTCCTTTGAATCTCCATGTCACTTGGAATTCTTATCGAGTCGAATATTCCGTATCAGTAGCACCCCATTCCCGAAATCTTGCTTGTCAAGCGTCGGGAATGCCAAGTCCTTCCAAGCTAAGCATGCTTGATGATTACTTTCTTGCCCCTTTTAATAAGGGAGTGGATTTACTCGAGCTTTGTGAGCTCACTCTTTAATAAGGGAGTAGTTAACCCTTATCTCTTTACTGAGGGAAGAATATGAAGTTGACCCTTTGTTTTTTTACAGGGAAAAAAGGTGTAGTCTTAATAAGGGTGACCCTTTTAATACGAGAGGTAGTCGTCTCGTCTCTCTATTAAATGAATGAAGCTTTAATTATCTCACCCTTTTGTGTAGAAGGAATAGTCGGATTCTTGTCCCTTTAATGAGGGAAGAATGTGTTGTTGGCCATTGGTCCCTTTAATAAAGTGTAGTTGGCCTCTCGTCCCTTTAATAAGGGAAGTAGATTAATAGGAGTTTTCCTCAGCTCGTCTCTTTAATAAGGTAAGTTGATTAATTTGAGCTTCAACTAGCTCATCCTTTAACAAGGTAAGTAGATTGACACGAGCTTCACTCAACTCACCCTTTAATAAGGGAAGTAGATTACTATGAGCTTCACCCAGCTCACCTTTTAACAAGGGAAGTAGATTATTATAAGCGTCACCCAACTCACCATTTAACAAGGGAAGTAGATTACTATGAGCATCACCCAGCTCACTTGTAATATAATGAAAAACTCACATAGAATTGTTCTTGTAGTATGATGGATGTGAGAGTTTTCCCTGGCTCAGCTCATTATGATGAATGTGAGAGGTTGTCAAACGCGTGTCGCAACAAAGCCCTCTACAAATAAGTCATTTTTGTATAGTTGGATTCACTTAATCCATCTTTATTTTTTGAGAGATAAGCAATTGATTGAATTTCTTGCATCCGACGTACAAAAAGAGACTCGTTGATTCATCTGACTACCAGT